GCACAAATTCTGAGGAATAAATAAATGTGATGTACCCACAATTTAATGCACATGTAAAGTTGGTCACTATACAAAAAGTTCATTTTTGTAAAAAATCGATTTTTGACGAATTTGTGCCAGCTCCAAAGCGCGACGATGACAAGCAACGTTGATAGTAGCGCCATGGTGCGGTTGCCAGCGAAACTAAAAAATTGCACAAATTTCGATCGCATAAATCAAAAATGGTACGTATTTGTGCCACCCAACATAAACTGTGGCAACCATAATGGAGTTGCTGCGTTGCCCAGCTGTCATTTTCGTCGTGCTTTGGCCAGCTCAGGGTGAAAGTAAGGACTGTAAAAATGATAAGTACATTTGGTGAGCACAAATTCCGTGGGCTATATAAATGTAGTTTGTTTACGTTTCCATTCACGTTCAGAGGTAGTCACCGTACAAAAAGTTCGTTTTTGACAAAAATCGATTTTTGATGAATTTGTGCCAGTTCGGGTTAATGTTCGGGTTTTTGGCAGAGAATAAATATTATTATTATTATTATAAATTAAGAAAAAATAATAAATTTGATCGTTTTTTGAAAATCACCTTTTGTTCGAAGCAAATTCAAAGTGACAAAATTTTTCAATTATTTCTATCAGCAAGTTTCATTGTTAATGAGTTTGTTTGTTCCATTTTCAGCGCCACTCGTCCCCCCATGATCTTAGCAGGAGTAAAAATGCTATTCGTACAATCTAATCTAAGTTAACACTTGTAAAACAATAGCTTTATAAAATATAAAAAGCGATTGCTACTTAACAACATACAATAATAATAACAATACAATTTTTGCTATCAATGAATTTGGTCATCGAAACCAATAAATCATATCAAAAATAATAGTCAGTATGATTCCATTGGGTTGGCTGTTATCTTTAATTCAAGTACCTCAACTATTTTTGTAAACACGCATTTGCCACACACGAGTTTCGTTAATTGGACACTCGCGAGTTACAATCATGTATGAATTATTTATTTACAACAGTTTCAAAGAAGTGGAATTTCAAGCCGCATATAATGTTATCTTCAAATAAAATCGCTTTGCGCATTTAGAACTTCAAATTTTTCTATTATGAACCGGAGGTATATGATATAAATGTTGAGTGTTTTGATTACTGTTTACTTGACATTAGTTTCACATATTTTTCTTAGAATCGAATACCACGATTCGAATTCGAATAATCAAAAACATGAAGCTGCTTAATTTTATCAGGTAATTTTCAACATAGATAAAAAAAAAAAAAATTATTATAAATAAAAGGAATGAACTGCTAGTTTTGTATTCCAAAAAGTATTTCACACTGTTCAATTATTAAAAGTGTTAAAATGTCTCGTCAAACGTTTATAAAAATTGTGTTATTAATTCAAATAATTGGGTTGACTGTAGCAAGTTATGTACCGTACTCCGACAAACAGGATAGAATTATAAACGGGAATAAGGCCCAAGTGGGCGATTTTCCACATCAAGTCTCGTTAAGACGCGTTGAAGATTCGAAACATTTTTGTGGTGGTGCAATTTTGTCCGAGTACTGGATTATCACATCTGCACAATGTACACAAGATCTGCACTCATTGCCCGATAACATTTTCGTTGTTGTGGGTACCGTAAATATGACACGAGGTGGCCTTGAATATGCTGTTGAAAAAATTGTCAGTCATCCTCATTTCAACTGGGAGAAAAGAAGAAACGATATCGCAATGCTGAAAACCAATCAACCGATGAAGATTTCCGATGGCAAAGTTTTTCCAATCGCTCTTCCCAGCTTTAAAACCAATTATACTATTGAAAACGGCATTGGCTTGACGGAAGTTACTCTATCAGGATGGGGAAGTTGTAATGTAAGTTCAAAGCGTCAATACATTCCATTCATAAATAGAACAATAATAAATTGCAATTTGGATGAATTTTCATTTGCAGGTAGAGGGTTCGAAAATTGAACCATCAGAAATTCTTCGGTTTCTAAAAACATCGCATCTACAACGTCGAATGTGCCGTCGCCATTTGGGACGTGTGAATGGTTTGTTATTGAATGAAAATCATCTGTGTGCCAATGTGAAAGAAGGACAGAGAATAAATGTTGGTGACATCGGAAGCCCACTGGTTACAAATGATGGACAACTTGTTGGTATTGCATCTTGGCAACACTCTACGGGGTATGAAATCGGCTATCCTGATGTATACACTCGCATTTTTCCATACAAAAGTTGGATATGGAACAATTTAATGGATCCAAACGACATTTTAATATAAGGAATAAGAATAACAATTAGGTTATACGATATTATTTGCCACAAACTGTGCGAAAAAAAGTTGTCAATAGTATTTTTCATACACAAAAATTACATTCCATATAATTTAATATAATTAATTGCTCGCTCTATTTCATATAAAGTATTTATTAAACACAACTATTTGATTTTATTCACTGTTTGTTTCTTTGTATTATTAGACCAAGAGCCACTCCAACAAGTAACTTTTTTTTTTGCTTTATGTCAGAAAACTATATTGAACCATGCAGCTAGACATCCACTAAACAAATAATTTTACGTTTATTACTTCAGCCACTCAATTCGCGAAATCTGCACTATTATTCGCGGATAGAAAACACATCAATTAATAAAGCGAGCTGCATGTTTGATTTTCTGGAATATATTTTGCTTTTGCTCAAAGATTATTCGATTAAAATTTCTGCATGAAATTCCGCATTTTTTACAAAATCTGCATGAAAGAATTATGTAAAAAAATATTAACTTTTTTGTCAGCTTTAGCATGCAATCAACTTAAAATTTTGAGTACAAATCAGTAGGTTTCGGACTTTGTTTTATCAAGTCTTTGTTTTTTAAAAAATACTTTTATCTGGAACCTAAATATTAAGAAAGAGGCAATTTTCACTGTAATTCCCTGGAATTGGCATGGAATTGTTTGAAGTAACACAAGCGTCACCAAAATCCTGCACTTTTAATACATTTTTCCATTTTCGGGCAAGTCGTTGAGGAGACTTTAAACGAATAATTTTCGAAATTATAACAAACATTCATAGTTTTAATTCACGATTCAATTACCTTAAATCTTCGATCGAGTTTTGTACCACTATACGGATCATTACCGGTTATGGGCGCTTCCGCGTACGGAATACCTCTAAAAGATAATATTTCTTGCCCAATACCTTCTACATGAAGGTGACCATGGTGACCATTTTTTGGTAGGCGGGACACATTGTGCGATTGATATGCACAGCAATACTAGCACTAAATCACAAAATATATGGTACATTTTTGACAATTTTTCTGAACAAATAAAAATAAAATGATTTCACGAATCACTGACAATAAGTTTTCATTAATTAAAACACTTTTTTTAAATATCTTTAAAATTTGAAAAAGATTTTAAAATCACATTTAGTGATAAATTTGCAATTTTTTCTGTAACGAAATGGTCATGCTAAATTTAGTTCTCATATTATATATATTTTTTAATATGAAAAAAGAAACAGAAAATTTTCATTTAAAATATAATTGTTAAGGTGATGGAATGACGAAAAAGAGTATAATGTATACGAATGCATATTTTTATTACGAACCTGCTAACTCGGAGCTAAAAATTCAAGTGATATTTTTTACCGTGGCCAAATATATGTCCAAATTTTATTTTTCTACGCAATATAAGTTGAAAACAATGGTTGTTATAAAGAATTGTTTAAATAAAAACATTCCAAATTGCATGCATTAAAACAGAAACAGAGGTATAATACGCTGCCAGTCTTTGGCCGTAGGGCTTAATATGAAACATTGGAAAGAAACACAAGAAATTTAAAGACTGACAATCCCTTAAACGCATAAATCAAAAACACAGAAACGTGTAAAATGAAGGATAAATCGTGATGGTTGACTTTAATAGCAGTATTAAACATTGTTACACCGAGATGGACATGTCAGTTGAGATCAGAGCTGTCCACGAGCGTTCATAGCGTTTTTTATTTACAATTTGTTTGGATATGTGTTTGTTTCTGTGATGAATACTTATTGACTTCTGCTGTACATGTGATGCTTGTTATAAATAATTTTCCTAACGATGGACAAAATTAAAAATAACTCCAGAAAAGCCAGCAAAATAAGAAACCGTATACGTAAATAAACATTATTATTGAATCTAATTAATGAATCACAGGTAGATGCGTTTAGTACAATTCCAGATCCCGAGAATATTTTTCAAAGTAGCAGTACCGACAAGATTTTGAAGAAATTTATTTATGCTATTACGAGTGAAGAATTACTTTCATATTACACATGGACTGGAAAAACCAGAAAAGGTTTTGGGAAAAAAGTCATTTCAAGATCTTGTGCATATCAATAAACTTCTACATGATCTTGTTTTAACAAAAGATTCAAGCTTCAATCTCCAGATAATGGAAAAAGTTATGGTATCGAAGGTTTTGAAATACGCCTAAACCAGTAATGCGCGAAGGGGGGTTTACATGAATATGATGTTAGTTTTGCGATAAAAATAATTTTTGATAGACTTTTCAAACAAAAATCTGAAAAATCACCAAAAAACTGTCGATTTTGAATGAGAGTTATACCTGTATGACGTGAAACTTTACGCGTGTTATTTTTTTCAAATGATTTATTATGTTATTTGTTATGATTTTCTTTGAAATTTCTTCAAACTTTCAGAATTGTATTTTTTTTGTGATGGAGGGCAGAGGTCCAAAAAAAATTTCTCATCATTCTGAACAACTTTTTAGTACATTATTTTTTGATCTGATGAATTTTTGACATAGTGGGTAGCTTCCCTGCCCCGTAGGGCTAATAAGAGCACCCTTTATTTTCACAATCCTATTTTTTCGGCACTTAAGTTACATCGATCCATATAGGTGAAATTGAAAACTTTTATTCACATTTCGATATGTTCACTGGTCAGACATAAATTGATTTTAAATGACACCCGAAATTTACCCCAGATTATACCTAAACCGAACTCTACTCAAGAGTCTAAATTACACACGGATATCACTCTTTAGTGGGCATAGTAGTGGGTGAAATAGAAGCTAAAGCATGATTTGACTTCCTGAAATGATGATTTTAACACACAAATTGTTCCTTGGGTTTGCATCTGACTGATCAAAATAAACACAAAAAAGTTGAGATTCTGTGAGGTGAAAACGCCGGACCGGTAAAAATGCGACTGATACTGTCAAATGTGTGTATCCTTATGGCGAATTCAAATATAACAACCGTTTGAATTTTTGTGTTTTAGATTTTTAAATTTTTATTTTGTATCGAATTACCCCCATTACCTCTACATTACGTCAATATTAGACTTTAATAAATGTCTTATCTTTTTTACATTCATACAAAAACATTTTGACTTCTTCCACATATTTTATATACTTCCAGTCTAGTGTTTATTTTAATCTTTTAAATCATACAATGAGTCGATGACAGGTAAACTGGTTGAAAAAAATGAAATGTATAGCATATTCCAATTGTTTATTTATCACAGTCTATGTATTTCGGATGGATATCCATTCGAGATATTTTAGAATATCTGGATATTTAACGCAACTGCACAGAGCCACAGCTGTGTGCGTCGCACATATAATCTACAGTATGTCGCTACACGAAAAATACAGACACAGTGTGACTGTGTACGTGCGGCACTTGATACACATATATGTCGCGACATACCGTAGATTTTATTTGCGACTCACACAGCTCTGGCGCTGTGCAGTTGCGTTGAATATCCAGATATTCTAAAATATTTCGGATGGATATCCATCCTAAATACATAGACTGATTTATCATTTTTCAATGTATATTTTTGATTGTTTTTTTAAACAACTAAGATAAGCAAATATATGATCATTAATGCTAATTAGCACTATTGTAATTGAACATAAAATTACATTGACCGAATCTGAAATGATTGAAAGGTTTGAAAGAACAATGCTAAAAAGTGAGCCAGCTGTCATTGCTTGCAAATTTGTCAAACCCTGCGGCTATCATAACAAAACAACGTACGTTTAATTCACGATAAAAGGATTCACCCGAAAAATCAAATGATATAAATATAAAAATATTATTTTATTTTATTTTTATTATTCCAATTATTTTGAATGATTAATACTTTTTTTGTATTATCATCGTTTCTAATATTTCCATTTCAATTTATTTAATTCTTATTTACGATCATGCATGCGATGCAAATGTGCCGTTTGAGAGTTAAACGCACCCTGCTCAGTTATGACAAATGTAGGGTTAGACAAACTCTCAGTCAAAAACTGCTGGCTCACTCGCTATATGAAAAATTGACATGGTTTTTTGTATTCGATTTCATAATATTCAAAAAATACCCATGTTCCATATAAAGTCTGATTCCTTTTTAGTTACATTCTGTTTCAAAGTTTTGAATTGGTAAAACATCTTTAAATAACCGTTTAAATTGATCCAATGGACACTTTGTTCCGCAGCCAGGTATGTTTAACGGATTTAACGGTGGAAGATCTTCAACCGTTGTATTTTTGTAAAACAGTTGAACATTAAAATTATCCTTACCACTTTGGTATAGCTCGAAAAACAAACACGAGGCGAAGGGTGGTATATAACCCTGGAAAACAACAGATAGATTTCAAAGATTGATAACACGTGAAAAATTCGTTTAAAAAAAATGTGAAATAAAAAGCAATACATCATAAAGGCCAAGACTATTCAATAAGTTCGCAATTGTAATGTCATGACCAGAATAAATCCAAAGTGAACGATCTGGGCTTAGTTTTGATTGAGTTTTCTCTGTGCATCGGTATAATATCTCTTTTAATAGAAAACCGGCTTTTAACTTTTTCATTTCGGTTGTGTATGTAAACATTTTATAAAAACATCGAATGTATATGTCCATATCACTGCCCGGATTCATCATATCTTCAGTCCATGATGGTAATCTGTAATGAGTCAAAATATTGATTTTCTAAGAAAAAATCATACCTCACTCATATTATTAAAATAAGGACTAATCAAAAAACGCACTTACGTCAAATTTTCAAGATATTGCACGCGTAACGTGTCCCATACAGAAATTATATCCATCGTTGTGATATTTTCAATTCCAGAATTGTCCATTATGAGTTTTATGTATCTTTCAGCTTTATTTCGAGCCGCTAAAAACTCTGGTGATTCGAAAGTTTCTTTGTATGCTTTATCGTATCGAGCGCAATGCCTTTCTAATGCCACGATATGATCCAGTTCTCTTGGAACTGTGTGAACTGGTATTGGACGACATTTAATTTTATCTGCCCACACTTCATCGTTTCCAGTTGGAAAGAATCCAAGTAAATTTGCATTTGCACTCAATATGCATCTATCATAGTCGGATGATCGAATGTATACCTTATCTGATGTATATTTGCCGTCAACCAACAGCTTGTAGTATCTTTTTCGCAAGTATTTGCCCAGCTGGTACTGCCGTTGCATTCCTCTCTTTGTCAGCTGCCCCCAACCATCGGGCCACAAATGTTCGCTGCTATACGGATCGTTTGGGTATGATTTATTCGGTGATCGATCACCATGTCGATAGATCTTGAAGTTTGAAAATTAGAATTTATATAAAATCCGCTGACGATGGACTTTAATTGTTTCTATTGTTTGCTTACAACGTGTGCAAATATCAATTGATCATTTTCTTGCTCTTCGCTTTGATCAGCTAGATAACAATTGTGAAAGCCGCAGTGAACAAATAATAAAACGAACATTAAATATAATTTTCGAGTCATTGTTTTTTTTTAATTCAACGGATTCCTTAAGCGGTTCTGAAAAAATATGTCTATTCGAATCAATTGTTGTAGAAACACTGAATTTTACACTCATTTTAAAATGAAATTTAATATTAAAAAATATCGTGCGTTTCTAATGAAATGTTATCTATGTTTACATACATTGATATAGCGACCGATGCCTTTGAAATGACATAGCTGTAAAATAATATTTTTCTCGTCTATTCTATCTATTAGTTTTTGGTGATTTGATCCAAAAGTAAACTTGAAGCAATATAGACGAATGGGGTTTAATTAGATTTCCTATTGTATTTGTAACAATTAGCATGATTCGTTTGAGTGTTATAATTTTCGTTAAGCCTTTGTAAAAATGTAGAGCCGTTGCTATGCGAAAAGTTTGGGTGAATGAATACTTTTATTGCTTCATCTGATTTCAAATAGATATTAATTAAACGAACGACAAAAATATTATTTTACAGCTATGACATATCAAAGGTATCTGTCGCTATAACAATGTATGTAAACATTTTTTACAATAACGCTCCGGTGTGTCAGCAATTGATTTACGATCATCTTTTTTGATCGCTTGAGCATAGTTTTGGGCGTTTTGCCTTTTGGCTATTGTATTTTTACCTGACAATGCTAAGAAACCGTGTTCTTTTGAACTAACCGGTTTCAATAGATTTATTTACTACTCTCACTTACAGTCGTCTTTCAACGCGACTCGATTTAAGAAGCGCCATCTCTTTCACGCCAGGTTCTCATATATTTTTTTCTTGCAAATAAAATTGCAAAATTGTATAAATTGAATAAGTTTTGCAATAATAATAACGAAAATAATTAATAGAATTTATAATAAATAAAAAAATTGAAAAAACACACAAATATTTTATATCAGGTTTCAGTCTGTAACTCGCCGCATATTTTCTCATTTGAAGAAGTTCAAGGGAAAACAAATTTCGTCCACTCTAATTCCTGTAGCTTTTATGAATGAAAGTTCAATGTTTTGAATTGTACACCACGTGGATTTGTTTGTAGCGCATGCGCTTTTTTGGTGTATAAAGATTCTTAAAGAAGGGGGAATATTTTCAGCAATTCAGCGTGCTTTCGTGATGCTTAGTGAATAATGTTTTCAATACATATCAGTCGGGCACAGTCCTCTGAACTGATTGTTCCCTTTCACTTGTCTCTCACCATTCTATCCTCATTTCATGATTGTTGAATGTGGTGCAATGAAAAAGCTCTGCACTAACAATAACATGATATAATTCATTGAGACCCGACGAATACCAGATGAATACAAATATTCAATTAAATTTTCGCTTGTCAAAAGTTATGTTGAATATTATTTCAAAAACATAGTTTTTCGGCTTTATTTTGGGCTGATTTACAAACATTTAATGTAACTGTCAATCATTCAAGATAAGCGGCTCGACAGTGCGATTGACAATGGTATATGTCAGCATTTCAGTCGTATTATTATATTTTCAACATTTTGTTGGCAGACTTAGTTATTATTTTGAAATTCGATGTCCATTGCAATGCTCGTATCAGCTCATATGCCATTACCTTAGCTCCAAAACTTTCATTAAGATTTCGTGCTGCTTCAAAATCGATGTCTCTTGTTATTCCAAGAAATTTGACACAAGATTCATACTTTTTATGATTTTAAATCCCGAAAAATTGCACAACTGATACAAGAAGTGCTTCACAACAATTTGGTGGCTTTAGCATTGAGGTTGAGATAGAGAAGCGTATAATAAAACATGAAAGTTGGATAAAAATGATTGTTCGAATGCAGTCTACTTTTGAAAGTTCTTCTTGGTTTGCTTTTGGCAACACTTTGCAGATGTGACGACTGACTTTTAAAAGCATTCCGAAGCAGATTTTTTGTTGCTTTTTTTGCCAGCAATATGTTGTGTTCATGTCATGCCGTATGTGATTTAACTTAGTTTAACTAGTTTTGAACTGGAATATGTAGATTTTGTTGGTCTTTTCAATTTTATGGTAAATTCTAGTTTCTTGTCACTCATTTTTTGATAGTTGTTCCAATCATTTTGAAACTATATAAAGAATTTTCATGCACAGCAATCACAACAGCATCATGAGACGTTAGTAAACATTTAGAGAGAAAAATATGATCTTGTGTGACTTCAAGGATTTCTGATTATGGACGTCTTTTCAGAGAAATAATTATAAGTCAAATCCAACCAACTATCAAAACTTATGTACTACTCACTTCTGCGGAGGATTTGAAATGTTGAGGGGGGCAATAAATGCAATAATAATTTGTGTACTTTGTTTAATTTAATGCCGAATATCTCGTATACTCGTGCTGTTTATCTTTCCTTAATTCGGTTATCATATATGTACCATATTTACAATAAACGAATGTATTCGGCTTCAATTTGCAACGAAACACGATTCGGAACAATATTTATTGCCAGCGTCGTTTATTATTGACGATTATTATTACAGTGTGTGTGTCGCTTTAAAAGGCTCAATGTTGTTTGGTCAGCAAAGTAATTCTTAAATTTACATTCCAATTATGCTTAATCAGCAATTTGCGTGCAAGTTTCACAGTGCAAATGGTAAAAATATGCATATCCGAAACATGAACCGAAACCATTTTAGATGAGAAAATCACAACTAACTATGCTCATCTCATATTTTGGTCGAATTGATTACAGCAATGTTGGGAAACAATGGCATACCATTTTTGAACGAATCAATATATGTTGATAGTAAATTGAACATTACAAAATCCGGAATATTGTTGAAACCTTGATGTTGTGCTTGTGAACCCCCATTGCTCTCTTAAATTTTAATTAAATGTGTAATTCATTTGTTTGCCGCATCAATAATTGCATATTCCGGTTATGGTCATTAAGCTCACTCATTTCAGTTCAAAATTGATAGTGTTTTACTGCTGATTTGCATACGAACTTTCATTTGCAATAAAACAGCAGGTATTTACTTTGCAATATTTAATACTTTGTATCGATTACTAGAATGGTTTCCACTTCGTTGAAAATTTTACCATTCATACAGCGTACATTTGTTGATTTTGGATCGATTTTAGCTGAAATTTCGATATGAAATATGCAGTGATGTCTGTGCGTCCATTGTGCTTATGATATTCGAAATCGAAAATTTGCTGGTATTTTTTTTAGCTAAATCCCGATCTCAGACACAGTCATAAATGTTTTCCGAATATAAGAATCACATGAATGATTCGAATGGTTTGTTTAGTGCAAGTGAATCGAATGTCAATGGCACAAAAGCTTGCATCATCCTTACGCTATATGAAATTTTCATGAACCATGTCTAATGGTAAGCCTTTTATCTCAAAATCATAATCAATTTGATCACTTTTTTCTTAAAAAAAAAATAAGCTCAAACCGAGCAAGAGAAAATAAATTGGGTTTTCCTGCCTGTTGGTGACTGTGACCGCCAACACATCAACAATCTTACGTGACTTGAATGGTCAAAACATTTCATCATTTTATTCAAATGTTGTTCAACCATCCGATATTATGCTCGTCATATAAACTACGAATATAAAAAGAAACGTACCGCGGTATTATATTTTCAGAGAACAGCGTTTCAACTGTAATTAAACCTTAAAATAGTTTATAGTTACCAAGCTTGTTACTACTTACCACTGCACACTCTGCCATTTCCAGCTAAAAGTGAACATTATAAATATAGCCAATTATATAATTTATTCCATGATGAACTTTTAACCATTAAACAATATAGTAAGCAAGTGTGGCGAAAAAAAAAGTGAGCAACAATCAACCATTGCATATGTTAGTTGTCCAAAAAAAATTGTTCTCACGTCCTGCGCTCGGTTTGTCGAAAAACTTTCGGTTGAATATACTCAGATTTAGTCTACGACATTGAAGGAAACCCCAGTAATTGTTTGCAATAGAAATAAAATTTCAAAACTATGTGTGTGTGTTTTGTTACAAAACTGTTAGCTGTTGTTGTTTGGGTGCAAGGTTTTACATGCTGTCGGCTAAACTAAAAAACTTTTCGATTAATTGGCTACTCACTTTAGTTGCCTTTTCTACTTTTAAAGCCTCCAATGCATTCAATTTCCCCTACACTGATGTTTCATTCAAAACTTTTGCCTTAAAATTGAGTAAATAAATCGTTTAAACGTTTAACGAATCGCATCGAGTAGTTGGAAGAACTTTAATTGAAATAAGAAACAAATTTGATTGTGTTTACATTTTTTTCTCTTCTTTTCGCTATTCAATTGTGAATGCATTTTCAATGGCATCGTTCATGTTACATATCGAGTTAACTCTTACAATCTTAATGCAAGAAATGAAGCCAAATTACATTTTTGCAAAATGGCAACACTACCACCAAACACCAGAGAGAAATCAAACAAGCCATTAAATTTAAAGCATCATAAAAAAAGTTAGTCATGATACTAAAAGTATAAGCTGGACTGAGATTTGGCGACAGAAATCCACGCTCTCTTCTTAAAATGTTTACTTTTAACTGTGATCAATTCTGCAATTGCCACGCAATCGAATCGCACCACTAGCACCACTTAATACAACGTTGTAGTGGCTTTGTAAGACTATGTTTTTTTCTTCTTCTATGTTTGCAACAAGCAATTTCCGTTCGAACAAATAGATGTAATTTAAAAGCGGTAGTCGATGCTGTATAACGAATATTTGCGAATGAATATTTGCTTTTTGATGCCACAAATGTGTGATGATGTAACAACAGAGCGACGCCACTAACTCTAACTTCAATTGTTTACAGCTTTTTCTCGCAGTTTTTTTTTCACCGAATGTTTTACAAGCGACTCGATATTTCGATTCGCTTCAATTTTGTGTTCAACTCAAGTATGTTTAACTAACTATAGTGATTTTTCGTATTAAAGAACTACCTACATTTTATCCAATTTATTTTAGAATTTATTCCATTTTGCTTTCAGAGCTTTACTATTCTTCCGCTTCTTTACAATTACATTTGGTTTTTTTTGTTGGTATGCGATTTACTTTTGCGATCTGTTCGCCATGATGAACAAGATTC